CTCTAAATTCCTCTTCCCGAGGTGCTCCAACTCAATCTCCCGCTCCTGGGCTCTGGCTATCATATCCTCCAACGTTTGACAAGTAGAAAAGCGAACGAACTCCCTGATATCAACTCTCAGCATGTCGTGGAATTGAGTCTTCTTCGTCCCCTCTTCCGCAGTATACTGTGGAACCAACAAAGCTCTCTCCCTAAACTCAGCGGTGATCTCCACCACATTTCTATCTAACTACTTTTGACGAAAAACATACCGAACTAAAATTCATTAATTCGAGCAAGAAGTCTGAAATATCACATTCCCAATTTAACCTTTGGTTCAAATCACAAATCAATGGCTTAGATCACTTTATCAACATTATCAACATTATCAACATTCAATAAGGTCTAAATTTTTAATCATTTGAAGCCCAAGAACTTTGCATGATCGAATTACGACCCAAAACCCTCAAACCGACTTCCAATGTTCCAATGTTCCAGCTCATAACACTACAGCCGATACAGATTGTATTACATAATGTGGGACTAACTCACTTGATAGATGTTTTGCCTCTTAGACTGGAGTTCTTTGTTAAAAAAAAGTATTGCGCAAAATTAAATACCAAAATAGCTTTTGCAAAATTAAAGTTCCCAACAATATTATTTTCTTCAAATAAAACTGCCAAAATTAAATACCGATTTAAATGCCAAACATTTAAAAAATGTGATGAATGTCAAAAATTGATTTCGTAAAATTAAATGTAGCAAATGTCTCAAAGTTATGTTAAAATTAAATGTCAATATTGATTTCTTGAAATCTAAATTTGCAACAATAAATTCCGAAATTAGTCTCGCCAAACTTTTTTTTAACGACAATTATATCAATATTTAAAATAAAAAAGACAATTATATTAATATTTAAAATAAAAAAATAAAAAAATAAATGTGTTTGTTGGCTCTAATTTTTTTTGCGACATAAACAATCCATATTTGTATCTGTTATTATTTAATAACTAATGTTCGTCATGATTATTTCTTTGAATCTATTTCCAAATTTAATATAATATCTTGTTATATGTCATTTACAATGATATGAATATGTTTATTTTGTCTTATTTTTTAAAATAAATACATTTTGAATGTTTTGCAGTTTCATTAAACAAATGTATATATGTTGTCGGTGACAATCAAAACATCAATCCAAATATATCATAAGGATATCAACATATAAGTTTTCAATCTACTTTGATTTGGATATCAAAAGTCCATTATCCAGCATCTTTAAAAATAAATAAAACATAGAAAAAATTATTTAGAAAATAGAAGATCTAATAATATGTCCGTCACGCCAAATGATATTATTATATATCTATCAAGTTATTATTGGCTTTTATACATAGAATGATATTTAAACTAATTTATGAATGTATTTTTTATTTTCTTCTGTTTGTTTATTCTGACATAAGTATTGCATATTTTTATTAAATAATGTTTTTATGACATAGGTAGTGTGGGTCGTGCTCAACAATGTTTCAAATCTACTTCTATTTTTAATATAATTGCTTCTAATCTACTTTCACTTTTAATATAAGAACTTTGTTATCTCACAGTTCCAATATAGCTACGGTTTTTTTCTCTTACTTCATTTGTTAGTTAAAATATAATGTACATACTATATATCTTTCAGGTTTTATTTTATTCCCTGCATTTTATAATTTTATTACTAACAATCAAATATCATCATAGGAAATAGATATTCTATATTGTCTAATGACATGAGATCCACGGCTTCATCATCAATCGCTCGAGATTTTTCTATCAATTTATCATTCAGAAAACAAAATTTAAAAATGAAAACTGCAAATATGTCTTATTCACTCATTTTTGACTTAAAAATATTAATTTTAGACAATGATGACAACCTTAACGGTATGACTTCTAATGTTGTATTCAAACAAGTTTTTGAAAACCTGTGATTCAAAACAATTTTTTAAAATATGTGAATTGTTTGTTTTATTAGTATAAATTGAATTATTTACTTACATCATTTCCTTTGTATTTATTTTGAAATTTTATTTTAAAAAATACTGAAGTTTACAACATGATATTTAACATTTTTTTAATGAACTTAAGTAATGCGGATCTCACAGCAAATGATATAATATATAATGATACAATAATGATTCATCTCTAGCCATAATACCCTTTTACACACACCCAAAAAAAAAGTAAAAAATCTATTTCAAGCGTATTTATTTTTTCTAAGTTACTTAGATTACATAAATAAATAAATAAATAAACTCTTAGTTATTAGTTTATTTTAAAATTCGTTTATATCTTTTTTCAATAATCACTTTATAATTATATTATTAAATCACTGAAAAGTATTTAGAATTTTAAATTTATTTGAAAGAATTATTACATTTAAAATATAAATTTTCAACTAAAATAAATTAGATATTCATGAACTCAAACTTTTTTAGGAACAAGACGGAACACAGCATAATTTTAACATCAAATTTGGTGTTGACAAATAATGTAACACCAAGTTTGGTGTTACATTATTATAATACAGAATTTGGCGCAAAAAATTATGTTGAGTTAGAGTTGCATTATGAGAAAGTTTATTCCAAAAAAGTTATTAATGCAAAAAATATAGTGTTGGGTTAGATATGCCTTCATGCGAGCTCATTTTATTGGGAAAGGTATCGTCACTTATTCACTAGCTTTTTTTGCAATTATAATGGTTGTTTTGTGATAAAAATTGACTATCTAGGTATATTGCCCCAAATATGATCACTCTAAGAAATAGCTATAATATTAAATACAAAACAACATATAAAGTGTAAAATGTGACAAGAGTTTAAAAAAGAAAGGACTAGAAGTAAAACATAATAGCATAAATGTTGATTTCGCATCCTAAAATGGGAAAATATTGAAAATGTCTGTAAAAAAAATAAACAGCACCATATTCGGAATATAGTTTCAAAGTTTGCACATTTTTTGTGAAAACTCCCTAAAGACCAAACCCCCGCTTCTCATGCCAGTTTTCCAATTCAGTTATGCATCCCTCTCATTTCGTTGATCCACAAATTCTGCAAACACCTTCTTATTTCCTACTCTCGACAATTCCCCAACTTCCATTTGCTCTTGAATTCACATAAATTCATCACCACACTCTTCATCCGATCAATTGATCGGAATACTGTCGTTCACCGGAGACAAAAATGGAACACATCACCACTGCTCAGGCCCACCCAGAAGTAGGTTGGAAGAGGCCCAGAACGAAGATCGTCTGCACTTTGGGACCCGCTTCTAGGTCGATTCCAATGGTTGAAAAACTTCTCAAGGCAGGTATGAATGTCGCTCGCTTCAATTTCTCTCATGGATCTTACGAGTACCATCAGGAAACCCTCGAAAATCTCCGTAAGGCCATGGAGAACACCGGTATTCAATGTGCAGTCATGCTCGATACCAAAGTATGTTTCCTTCTTCACTACCTATCAATATCATCGCTCTTTCTATCTCTATACATGAATGTGATACAGATCGCGTGTATATGTTTTTTTTTTTTTTTATCAATTAACATTTTCGTTTTGTTAACGTCATACGAGATGGAAGAAATGAATCGTATCCATTTTGATTGAATTATGATGTAACTAAGAATACAAACTGTTGATTTTGTTTCCGATGGATAAATTAGGGTCCTGAAATTCGAACCGGGTTTCTGAAAGATGGGAAGCCGATCCAAGTGACGCAAGGTCAAGAGATCACAATCTCCACCGATTACTCGATTATCGGTGACGAGAATATGATATGCATGAGTTACAAAAAGTTGGCTCATGATTTGAAACCAGGAGGCACGATACTCTGTTCAGATGGCACCATTACGTTTACTGTTCTTTCTTGTGATACTGAAAAGGGATTGGTTCGTTGTCGTTGTGAGAACACCTGGACTCTTGGTGAGAGAAAGAATGTTAATCTTCCAGGTGTCATTGTTGATCTCCCAACTTTGACAGAAAAAGACAAAGAAGATCTTCTCAAATGGGGTGTTCCTAATAACATTAATTTGATTGCTTTATCTTTCGTCCGCAAAGGTTCTGATCTTGTTGAGGTTCGCAAAGTCCTTGGTGAACATGCCAAAAACATCGTCCTTATGTCAAAGGTCTGTTTTCTTTATTTTATCTCTCACTAATTTCATATCATATTTAGTGGGGTCCGTTTATCAACTGTGCATCTGATTTACATCTGTGTATCTGATTTACATCTGTTCAAAATCATGAAAACCATGATTTATATTTTCTAGGTTGAGAATCAAGAAGGCGTTTCCAATTTTGATGAAATCCTAGCCAACACCGATGCATTCATGGTGGCTCGTGGTGACCTCGGAATGGAAATCCCAATCGAGAAAATATTCTTAGCACAAAAAACCATGATTTACAAATGCAACGTAAAAGGAAAATCAGTTGTGACCGCGACTCAAATGCTCGAGTCCATGATCAAATCCCCAAGGCCGACTCGAGCAGAGGCCACAGACGTGGCCAATGCGGTCCTCGATGGCACAGACTGTGTCATGCTGAGCGGTGAAACCGCCGCCGGGGCCTACCCCGACATAGCAGTCGCCACCATGGCTAAGATTTGCATGGAAGCTGAAAACACAATCGATTATCCGCTCCTTTTCAAAAAGATCACTGCAACCGCACCCGTACCTATGAGCCCGCTCGAAAGCCTGGCATCCTCCGCGGTTCAAACCGCCAATGCATCACAGGCTAGAATGATTTTGGTGTTGACTAGAGGCGGCACCACCGCGAAGCTGGTGTCCAAGTACCGGCCTCAGATTCCTATTCTGTCGGTGGTGGTTCCAGAGAAGTCTGATTCAGGTGGTGGAGTGTCGCCTAGCGATGAAGCTCCGGCGAGACATAGTTTTATTTTCCGGGGTTTGGTTCCTGTTTTGTGTCCCCCGGGGTCCGCTAAAGCTTCTACTATGGAATCAACTGAAGAAGCATTGGAGTTTGGATTGAAACATGCTAAGAGTAAAGGCCTTTGCAAGGATGGAGATGCGGTTGTTGCTTTACACCGAGTTGGATCCGCATCCGTCATCAAGATTATCACTGTCAAGTGAAAGTGAAAGTGATTCCTCCCACGCTCATTTCCATCTTTATTTCCAAATCGTTTTCTTCAAGTAATAAATGACTTCGTACTTGTTTTTCACCGAGTCAACTCGGTTGGATGTTTTGTTGCTATGTGTTTGGTATAATCAAACTAATTTTTGCATTAAAGTTGTGTTGATACGATGGAATCATGAATGGTTCATTCCGTAGGAGTTGTAAAATAACTCAATCTATTACTTTGCTTTTCGTTAATATTTATCTAGTATCTATGCCACATGATTGAAATGTATTTTAAGAAGCTAAGCTCCAGAGGTAATCTAGAAAAATGTTGGAAAAATTTTTGAAGGCGTAAACAATCCTTCATAATTAGGTTTACATAAAAGAAGACAGAAACACGATATACTCCTGTCAATATTAAACAATATAATATCCGATCTCTGTACACGTTTCTGTAACGACGGCGTATACACAACATGAAGGAAAACTTACAGCTGAGCTGCGGTTCATTGATTATCATCGTCCCTCCGACCACCTCCGTTCTCCGGCGGACCTGACCCTGAGTCCGACGACCCTGTGTCCATTATCAAACGAGGGTTTGTGATTTGAGTGCCTGAAGTTGATGTTGATGAGAAAAGGCTGTTGAAAGGCCAAGGGAGAGTTACAGAAAGTCGCCGGGAGGAACCGGAACCGTCTTCTCCGGCGATCTCAGATTCTCCGGCGATCACGTTGGTGTTGACAGTGATAGCACGGGAAGCTTCACGGTCTCGTTCGAGTTTGGATTCATCGGAAGGTAACTGATACCTGCAAACTGGACATGAACTGTGAAGGTCTAGCCATGGCAGGATACAGTCACCGTGAAACCTATGTTTACATGGCATCTCTTTTGCTTCATCTCCGATCTGAAAATCTTCCAAACAAACTGAACACTGAACGGAATCTTCCTGGATTTTCACTATCGGCATGGCCTCCACCGCCTCTTTTTTTGCCGGTGGTGTTCCGTACCGGTTTGGATCATTCTCCGCGAGATGCTGGAGGAGTAATTCCAGTCCGGGGCCCACAAAGTAATCGCCTAGGGATCCGATTGGGTGGTTCTGTGGGCCGCCGACGCCGGAGGAGTCAAATGAATTTGCACCACTGCCACCACCCTGGACAATGATTGTGTTACTAAACGGATTAATCAGAATAACACGATCTCGATCTCTGTTACTCTCTCCGCCTTCCCTATCAGCGTTATTCTCCGATTGCGTTATCATCCCGGCGCGAATCCCCTGAAGGAGTTGAACGATCGCGGCGGAGCTTCGCCGCCGCCTTCTCATAATAGACTCCAACTCCCTATCCAATTCCGACTCTCCTCCTTCACGGTGGTAACGACGGTAGCGTTCTTCGGAGTCGTTATGATCTTCATTCTCATCGTTTTCCTCGTTGTTCTCAATCTGTCTTAATCTACGTCGCCGGCGAGGGTTACTCATCATTCCAAGCAAAATTGGAGCCCACAATGACATAGCACGGTCAGATTCCGAATCTCCGGCGAGTTGGTGTTGGTGGTTGTGATCATCAGCCCTTACGCTATCATGTTCCTCCACGAATCCGCCGTTACATGACGAACATTTGATCGTCTCAGCCTCCCTGAACGTTTCGACTACTCTGTTGCATACATGACACCAGTATCTCGTTGACTCACTTCCTTCTTCCATCTAAAAAATATAAAAACTCAATTAGAACAAATCATATACAGATCTAACAAGATCATTAAACCCTATTCATCTCCATCATAGTCCTACTCAATGCCTAAATCACATAGATTCCAACTCTTCGAAATCAAATGACGATCATAACAAGAAGAAAAACACGAAAATAAAAGAAAATTTAGTCAAACCTTAAATAACAAGATTAGTAGAGATGAAAATTTTCGTCAACAAGATGAAATTGGCGAACGCAAAAGCATTTTTCGATCGTAAATTCTTAAAATAAATTTCATCCTTCCTGGAATTCATTGTGAAACGAAATTTAGTTGTTGAAAGAAGGAAAAACCCTAGAAACGGGTTTTAAAAAATGAGAAGAATCTGCAAACAAACTAACCTGGAATCCTCCCAAGAACCGAAGTGGGGAATTGAAAAAATAAAGTGGAGAATTTGTTAAATTATTTGTGGGGTTGTTCTTGGGATGTCCTTTTCTCAAACAAAATTTCCCCTCTTTCTCTTGTGTGAAATTGAGGGGTTTGTGTTTGGTGGAAGGAAGTGGGAATGGGAATTTTGTAGCTCCGATGGGGGGTTTTCTCTGATGGAGTAAAAATGATTTGAAAATGGGTGGGGGAGAAAAGTAGAAATCTCACCATCGATATCGATAGCCCCCCCGTTTCCTTTTTATTTCTGGAATCACATGTCCATGTTATGTCAACAACAAAATATTTGTGACACAACATCAATTAAAACAATATTTAATTTATACAAAAATAAAATATCTTTATATCAATAAAAAAAATAGCTAACACTTCCCCTATAGTTATTCTTAAACCTATTTCAAACACCACTTGGAGTTGCAACCAGTTGCCAACATTTTTGATAGTGATAAATCACAAGTTCGTTGGTTAAAATAAATAACCATATAACAACAAATCAATGATACTTTAATAAATAATATCATGTTTAAAATGTTTACATAAATAACCTACTTCTCAAGATGAAACTATGATCTATAAAATATCTTTATATCAATAAAAAAAATTGTTTTTATATATTTGTGTTGATTTTTATTTTTATATCTTTTGGTTCATTTGTCTTTGCATCAATAAGCTCAATAGTCATAGGCTTTCCAACATTTTTTTGGAGTCATATATCATCAACAAATAAAAAAAAACTAAATATCAAAAAAATCAATATAATAGTATATATAAAACACACATTTTCAACTCCCATTTTCATTCATTTTTCTAATCATTGCTTCCTAGAACACCCACTGAGCTGCCCTAAAGCTGAAGGATGTTGTATTTTTTTTTTTTGCCAATGATAAAAAATTGTCACATAGACGCCTGTTTTTTTATATTTTTTACCAATGAGTTAGGATGTGGTGATGTTTTTACCTACCAACTTTTTTTTAATTCAAAAATCTAAATAATCACATAAAATAAAAAATAAATACTAATTAAAATAACCTAACAATTCATTTAAAAATTAAAAACATTACATTTGATTTAATTATCATAAAATGAAAATTAAATTAACTAACTTAATAATATAGAATCGTTAATCCAAGGAACATAAAATATTTCAGCTCGAATATTCACCATATCATTGTCAATTGGCTCATTTAAATCAATTTCATTAACCCAACATATATATATATATATAATATATATATATATATATATATATATATATATATATATATATATATATATGTTCCGCCAAATCGTTGCGAAGCTCGTTGGTGTTTTTGATTGTCACGTATCCCCCTTCTTCTTGCACGCCATGCATGGGAACCAGCCGATTGGCGCACTTGAGGATGCACTTGAGTATGCATTGTCATTTGCTTGAAACCAACAAATTATTTTGTGCTCGTCTTCCCAAATCATATTATGTAAAATGATACACACATACATAATATGAGCGAGCTTTTCCACCGTTCGAGGACGTGTCGGATGTTGTAGTATGCGTCAACGCTTCTTGAGGACTCCAAATGCTCGTTCGACATCCTTCCTAGTCTTTTCTTGGAATGTTTTATACTTTATGCGTTTTGGATCACTTGGACATGTTAGCATTTTCAAAAACACAACAAATTCAAGATATATACCATCAACAAGATAATACCCATAATCGTACGTCGTTCCATTAACTTGAAATGGACAGTTGGGTGCAGACCCATCACAAAACCCATTGATTATGGGCGACATGTCTAAAACATTAATATCACTGTTTGAGCCAGGAGCACCAAAAAATACATGCCAAATCCAAAGATCATGTGACGCAACAACTTCAAGTATGACTATGGAGTGATCCTTATCAACTCGTGCAAATTTCCCTTGCCATGCATTAGGAAAACTACCCCAAGCCTAATGAAGACAATCCAAACTTCCAAGCATACCAGGAAAGCCATGAACACTAGTATGATGATGTCACACCCCCAAACCAGGATGACAGAAACGTTTGGGGTGGATGTCTTCATGAACAGTATCACAATATAATGTACAATAGTGATCAAAGTAAAACACAACCATCATAAATATAATTGAGAATGTTACATTGTTTCCAAGTATTGTATGTTTCAAAACCAATTACATTATGATGACAAAAATGAATAGTACGACGCCGTAACGTCCCATCCTCAAAAGCCTTGTGACTACTTGTTTAATGGTTTCCTAAGAATACAAGTAATTTTGAAAAGTGTCAACAATTAAGTTAGTGATTTCATAAGAGTTTTGTATGTGAAAAATCTGTAACACTTTCCTTGTAAAATGATAGTGTTTGTTCCCAGAAAAATCCAGTATTTTCTTAAAAATGAGTTGTAGTCTTGAAAACTCTAAGACCAAAAATGTATAAGTATTTCTATACTTAAAATAGTATTACGTAGTTTTATTCTTATATAAACATTTTGAACGCATGTTACCCCGTAAACTAAATGTATTGTTGATTCCCCATGTGAGTTATTACATCCATGCTAAAACCGAACTTGGCATGCTGCGACATTCTTCAGGCGTCAGAATGTTAGACATTTGTCACCCCAAACCTGCCGGTCTAGCTGTAGCTAGCAGCTTAGGTGCGAGATTGTCAGTCCCGTATAGTGTTGGATTAGGTGTCTAAGCCGCCCATAACTATAATTGGTATATACTTGAATTGATAGCATCACAGTCCTTTTGGGTTGCCCTCAAATCTAGCAACTGGACAAGGAAATTATGAAAGGAGAGATATTAATTTATAAGATTAATAAATTAACATAAATGATTTATTAATATGTTAAAAGATTAATATATTAATTAGAAATCATTATGTTTAATTAATAGTTAGCCAGAAATTAATCAGAATTAATTTTGGGGTTAAAAGTATTAATTATAAAGTGCAGGGATTAGTTTGCAATTATCAGATAGTTGAGTGGAAGGCTCCAGAACCTCCTTGGAAGGAGGTGGACGAAATCTATAGGGGAAACCCTAAGGATTTCGTCCAAGGGGCTTTGGATAAGGCCTTTGGATTAGCTTAGGCCCCAAGCAAAGGAGTATTAGGGTTTTCCCTAAACCCTAGATCCCTCAGCTATATAAGGAGCCTCCCAGCTCCTAAATTCGGCCACTCCTACCTTGGAAGAAACCCTAGGCCGATTTTTGCATACCCTACCCTCTCTCCTTCAAGTTTCCTTCTTGCTAGTTCTTGGGTGTGATTCCATTAGAGGCATTACATTTGTGGTGCTAGGCTTCCAAGAAGATCAAGTTCAAGAGGATTATCAATTGTTTGCTATAACAATTGAAAGGTATGTAACTCTTAAACCCTAGTTAGTTATTTTCGAAAATAGCCTCTCTCCTCTAGGGTTCTTGTTTGCAATTCAAAGTTATATGTTCAATAGTTAAAACATAGATCCAAAGTAGGTTGCATGTGAACTTAGGAATTGTTTTCTAGTTTATTTGTTTTACCTAAAACCCATCAGTGGTATCAGAGCCATTGTTTGTTTTAAATTGAATTGCTATAATAGTTGAATTGCAAATTAGGGTTTATAGCCATTAAACCCTAAAGGCCAAAATTTTCGATTTTAGGGTTTTGGTTCAAAGGGTTTTCGAAAAACCCTAGCCTCCATGAACCCTAATCGAAATTAGGGTTAGGGTTTTGGAAACCCTTGCCTCCTCCCTTAAAATTTCGAAATTTGCTAGTCCCTTTTAGGGTTTCTTTGTTTTGGATAATAGTTGCCTTATTGGATAATTGAGAAAAATAAGGAAATTATCCTATCCCCATATTTTCGAAATCTAGAAGGGATATGGATTAGGATTAAATTAATTGTTTAATTTAATTAGATAATCCTTACAAGATTTAATAAATTAGTTAAAAGTTAATTAATAGATAAATATTAAATCTAGTTATTTGGTTTATTTTAAATTTAAAATTAATGTCTTAATTTTCGAAATTTATATATAAACCCTAAAGTTTTAAAAAGTTTAAAACACACCTTATATATATATATATATATTATTAAAAGTTAAATATTATATATGTATAAGAATATGGTCAGTCAAATCGCTAGTATGCCTCATTCACGAAGCTAGTCTATAAGGGGGGTATAAGGAAACTGCCTATAAAATGGTAGTTGAATGGGTGTCCACTCTCACCCACCGCTTCCTTGATTAGTGGAGGGTCGTTAGCAGAACGGGTTTGATAGGACAACTACATCTCATTAAAAGTATAATGTTATTAAAGAAAGTACTAGAACATTATTTTACAAAATCCCAACTCTAGTTACTTTAGGAAAAATGTGAAAAGTATGCTAATCCATGAAATTGCACATTATGCTTTATTGGTCGTTAGTGGAGCGTGTGTGGTTAACCAGCACACTAAAAGGCACTAATAAAGAGTAGTAATGGGTATCTCATAATTGTCATTTTGATGGAGCGTGTGTGGTTTACCAGCACATCAATAGTTAATGATAAAGACAATGAGGTTACCAAGCACATTTGCATGGTTATTCACATCTTGTTTGTGATCCTCGGCATCCCAGTCACAAATAGAAGAGCATAATCTGAGATTAAAACATGCCATTGAATAGTTTCAATGTATCTCAAAAGAATTAGGAATTTCACTTCGTTTATTTCGTCTAATGGTGGAATTGGTGAATCGTCATTCACCTACCTTTATGAAATTTACACTTGGATCTCGGCATCCCATTTCTAAGTTGTGAATCTTCATAGTTGGATCCTAACCTTAATATTATATCTTTGGGTTATTATATTGAGGTATCTTGAAATCTAACTAAAACTTTCTTTCTTTTCAGATGTCTACTCCTGGAAACACTTCTGCTTCATCATCCTCCAACCACAACTTCTCTTTGCTCAACATTTGCTCCAAAGTCGTTATGGATGGCTCTAACTATAACGATTGGATGCGTAACATCAAGATGGCGCTTCGATTTGAGGACAAAGAATATGTCCTTGAAAAGGAGCTCAAAGAGCTTGATGAGTCTAAAGCTACTCCTGAAGAATATGCTGCCTACAAGAAACATTATGATGATGCTACCAAAGTGGCATGCATCATGGTCGCAACCATGTCCCCAGAACTGCAGAGGTACTATGAGGACTACTGGCCCTTTGAGATGAACAAGGACCTTATGGAAAAGTACCATAAGCGAGCTCGTCAAGAAAAGTTTGAAGTAGTCAAGTCACTCATGGCTTGCAAGATGAAAGAAGGGGAGTCGGTTGTGTCTCATGTGCAAAGAATGCAACGCTACATAGAGCGTTTGGTCAAGCTCAACATTCACTTTGATGAGGAATTGGCCATTGACATGGTCTTGAACTCATTACCTGATTGTTATGGTCAGTTTATTCTAACTTACCATTTGAACAACACTGAGCAGACACTGGCCCAATTGCACAACTTGTTGCAGACAGCTGAAGCAGGGATGAAGGGTAAAAGTATAGCCTCCACTCCTGCAAGTGCCCCTGTCTTGGCTATTGGACAGGGAAAGGGGAAAAAGAGGAAAGGTCCTCCTAAGCAAAACTGGAAGAACAAGGCTCAAGCTGGGTCATCTAGTAATGGCCCAAAGGCTAAGCCCAATGCTACCATTCCCCATGTTTCTGATCCAAAAGATGCAGATTGCTTTTATTGCAATGACAAAGGGCACTGGAAGAGAAGCTGCCCAAAATATCTGCAGGATATCAAAGATGGCAAAGTGAAGCCATCTTCAGCAGGTATTTACACTATTTCTTCTAATAACTCATTATCTTCTCGTTCATGGGTCCTTGATACAGGATGTGGTTTTCACATCTGTTCTGATTTACAGGGGCTAAAAGAAAGTGAGGAGATAGAGCGAGGAAGGATAAACTTGATCATGGGAAACAAGAAGTCTTCACCAGTGACCAAGATCGGAGTTTATCAACTTTTGCTTAGTAATGATGTTAGATTAGATTTATTAAATTGTTGCTATTCGTCTGAGATGACGAGAAACATTATTTCATTTCATGCATTGTTCAGACAAGGTTTTAAATATTCTTTTAATGATTTGAATGGTTCAATTTCTGTTTATAAGAATGGTGTTTTTGTGTTTGAAGCTTTGCCTTGTGATGGTGTGTATGAAACAGTGACTTGTGTTGATAGCTTAGGAAATAGTGTATTTAATATTGACTTGTCTAATAGTGTAGACAAGGCATGCTTGTGGCATTGTCGTCTTGGACACATTAACAAGAAACGCATAGCCCAACTCCAAAAGGATGGAGTGTTGGAATCATTTGACCTAAAATCAGATGATATGTGTGAATCTTGTCTTTTGGGAAAGATGACAAAATCACCATTCACAGGGTCTTGTGAAAGAGGTGAAGGTCTGTTGGATCTCATACACACAGATGTGTGTGGGCCCTTCAGATCAACTACAAGGGATGCTAATCGATTCTATGTGACTTTCACTGATGATTATAGCAGATATGGCTATATCTACTTAATCAAACATAAGTCAGAAACCTTTGAAAAGTTCAAAGAGTTTAAGCATGAGGTCGAAAATCAATTGGGCAGGAAGATAAAGGTACTTAGATCCGATAGAGGCGGGGAGTATCTTAGTATCGAGTTCAACGACTATCTGAAAGAATGTGGGATAGTCTCACAATTAACTCCTCCTAGGACACCACAGTTAAATGGTGTAGCTGAGAGGCGTAATCGAACCTTGTTAGACATGGTTCGTTCTATGATGAGTCGTGCTTCGCTTCCTATTCACTTCTGGGGGTATGCCTTAGAGACAGCCGCCCACATCCTCAATCTTGTCCCTACAAAGAAGGTTGCCAAAACACCTCACGAAATGTGGACGGGGAAAGTTCCCTCGTTAGCACATATTAAAGTCTGGGGTTGTGAAGCTTTCGTAAGACGGGAGACTCACGACAAGCTAGCAGCTAGAAGTGAGAAATGTGTTTTCATTGGTTA